GGTTGGGTTTGTAACCAAAAATGATGACCAAACAATGGATCTGTTTGCCGAGGTCCAGAGCTGCAAGACTGGAAGAAGCTCCAATGATGCTGGAAAGAACATATGGGTCTGAAATATCAACACCTTCTTTTCTCATTTCGATAAAAAGGCTAAACGCGTCGAAAAATTCCCCACTTTGCACCATTCCAGATATTAATGCAGTCCATGTGGATATGGTTTTCACCTGAGAAGAGCGAAAAAGTTCCATGGCTTCAGGCTTCATCCCATTCCGCGCATACCCAGAAATCATAGCAGCAGACGAAATCGGATTCCTGTGGAAGATAGAGTCGAAAACCTTTCGGGCGTGACCAAGGGCCCCACATTTGGTGTACATGTCGACAAGGGAAGACTTCACGACATCATCGTACGAAAAGGGTGACACGATGAACTGCCCGTGAGCCTGTTTTCCCACTCTTAGGGCACTAAGGTCAGCGCAAGCCTTGACGAGGCTGGCGAAATCAAAGTGGTCAGGTTGAAAGCCGTCGAGGCGCGACATGTTTTGGAAGATGGAGAGAGTGGATAGGGGGCCAGCGAGGTTGTGGGCGGTGAAAAGGGAAGCCCACGAGGCTAAGTCCCTTTGGGGCATTTCGTCGAACACATGGCGGGCGTCTTTCAGTAGGTGGCATTTGCCGTACATGTCGATGAGACCATTGGAGTAGATGGGGGAGCACATTTGTCTTGGCCGTTCTTTACAATTTGGGCATGGAGTTTCTTGCCCTGCAATGGAGATTGGCGCCTTGCGCAGTGCTGGAGTTGATGAATTGTGGAAGAACGATGCATTCAGAGCATTTGCATATTCCTCTTCTTCTTCTGTAAATATAATAATCAATCTGCTTAAACTAAAAAAAATTTAGCCAGTTTATCTAAAAGGTATGGGTGAAGAACAACAAATATTGTCTAGAACAAAGTTAGTTCCATATTGTCTTTGCATTATTTTACGACAAACAAATATAATTGTTTGGAATTATTTGTAGCCGTTTTATTTACAGTTGGAGTTCTAGTATGCATAGAAGAAAAAAACGGAAAGACCTGAACAAAGAATCCTAATCTTACTTGCTTAATATTGAGTAGAACTTCTAATCTTATCTGATTAGGGTTTAAAGTTTACCTATATAAGCCGCAAGTCCCACACAAAAGAAGATAAGCCGTATGGTAAGAAGATAGAGTCAAGAATAGTCAAATGAAAAGAACATTTCTGTAAAAATAATACACGGTATGAAGTGTGAAACACATTGACAGTTTTGCATCTAAAGTTACCTATATAAGCCACATATCTTTTTATATATGTTTGAAACAAAAATAATACACGGTATGATTTAGTTTTATGTAGGAAGATTTCTTAAATATATTTGTTTGATAAAATTTCCACCACAAATTTGTTTTAAAAGATACGAGAAAATAGTGTATGAAGTTAGTGTATGAGATATACGGCAAATTGGCAAGTTGCCAAGTTGGTTGTCCTCATAATTATTTTTATGTTAAAAAAAATGAAACTTAACTGTAGTGAAGTCGTTTTTTAATCATTAAAAAAAATACTCCTTAGAATAAAAAATTGCCATTTTAAGTTTTAATTGGAAATGATAAACATGGAACCCACGTAGTGGTCGTAGTGGAGGCCGGGAAAGCTCCTTCCCCAGCAAGAAAAACAAAACCCACCCAAAAAAAATTATCATCGCATTATTGGCCGAGGCGTCGCGTACCGTTTCACGCGCCGCCGCGGTGAGTTTGGTCGGTCAAAGCACTCAGGCGGTCATAACTCCCCCTCCCGTGGACGGCGGACTATTATTTATTGAAGTCATTCTAGCATCCCGTGGTGTTTGAAAGGGAAGGAAGGCCAATGAAATGATCCAGAAGGATTTGAAAGAAGCGCAATAAGAATAGTGAGCAAAAAGGCGGCTGGCTTCTTCGGCTCCCAGTTCATTTCTTCATTTCTGCTGCAGTTTTGTTCAATAGATTCGAGTATAGTTTTCAAGGCCGCAGTAGAAAGTAGCTGTAGATCCATTGAATCGATTCTTCCGTAAGTGTACGTAGTTAGGGAATACTTAGTTTTTGGTAGGATTTGAAGTTGAATTGCAATGGAAAATACAACGGCATCAGCTGAGCCGCCGCCGGGGATACCGCCTGCGGAGGAGCTCTTGAAGAAGATCCAGGAGCTGGAGGCGGGGCATGCGCGGTTGAAACAGGAGATGTCCAAGCTCGCGATTTCGAGTGATTACAGATCAGAGAGGCAAAGGTCTCACTCTATCTCTCCTCAACGGCCGCGGCGGCTTAAAGCTGCTGGTGGCGGAAGGCGTGGCGGCGGATTTGAAGGTGGCACCGCTGCTGCCTGGAGAAGGGGCTCTGCCTCGTTCCGTCATTCTTCTCCGCTGCAGAGGGAGAGTAGTAGTAAAGAAGAGTATACAGCACATGAAGGGGATGGTGGTGCAAGCTGTGGTGCCAGAGGTCCAGCCGCTGTGAAATTTAGTGACAGACAACATTTGAATATATTGCAGTCAATGGGCCATGCAGTGCATATAATTGATCCTAGTGCTAGAATAATATACTGGTGAGTGACTTTCATTTTCTCTTATACTGTTCCTCTGTAAAGTTATTATTCAGCTTGTTGGTTCAAATTAACTTCATTCCCGGGAGGCTATTCTTGCATTAGATGCCAGTGTGTAATCTTGAATTATTTAAGTTTATTTTGTGAGAGTGGGCACAATTCTGGTGCAGGAACCGAACTGCTGAGCACTTGTATGGTTATTCCGCCGCGGAAGCTCTTGGGCAAAGTATAATGGACCTCGTTGTGGATTCTCAAGATTTAAATTTGGCTCATGATATTGTGAGACGTGTAGTTGCCGGTGAGAGTTGGAGTGGACAGTTCCCAGTGAGGAATAAGCTAGGGTGTAGATTCTCTGTCATAACAACCAACACCCCTTTCTATGATAATGATACTCCAATTGGGCTGATATGCGTATCAACTGATATCAGACCACTCCAAGAGACCACCACAGCATTCACGGGGGCAAAGATATTGGATTGTGAATCGAGT